CTTCCTTGTTCATCTTTAAACAAGGAGATACCACAACTTTCTTGCTTCTGTATTTTGACGATATTATTTTGACTGCCTCGTCTTCGGACCTGCTCCACCACATCATCTCCTCGCTCTTATTTGAGTTGTGATGACCGACATGGGTCATCTTTCATATTTTCTCGGGATTGCAGCATCTCGAGACAAGACCGACCTTTTCCTATCCCAACTCAAATATGTATTGGAACTTTTACAACGTGATCACATGTGAGATTGCTCTCATTTGAGTTTGTGATGACTGACATGGGTCATCTTTCATATTTTCTCATGATTGTTGCATCTAGAGACAAGACCAACCTTTTCCTATCCCAACACATGTATGCGTTGGAACTTTTACGGAGAGCTCATATGTTAGATTGTAACCCTTGTCACACAGTAGCGGATGTATAGTTGAAACTAGACCACATTGATCCTCTATTTTCCGATCCCACTCTCTATCGCATCATAACCTTGACGGCGGTCTTCAGTATTTGACATTCACGTGTCCCGACATCTCTTTCGCAATCCAACAGATATGTCTTTATATGCATGACCCATAGCCGCATTTCAATGCTCTCAAATGCATTCTTCGTTACATCAGAGGTACTCTTGACTATAGTCTTCAACTCCATCCATCGACTACCTCCAACTTGATTGTTTATTTTGACATCGATTGTAGGGGATGTCCCGCCTCCAACGATCCATGATCGGGCATTGTGTTTATCTCGGTGACAATCTAGTCTCATGGTCGTCCAAGCAACATGTTACAGTTTCTCGTTCCAGGCCGAGTACAGAGGAGTCGCTAATGCTGTCGACGAAACAGGTTACAGTTTCTCGTTACAGTGTCGAGGCTGAGTACAATGGGCTTAATGTACAATACAGTCTAATAATCCCCTTTAATGGACTCGAGCCTTTCTCTCATCTCTAACTATTTAACAAATTGTAAGGTAATGTAGGATTAACATTCATAGAATTACCGAAAACCAAGAATTTGATAACTTGCTTACAATAAGACATCATCATACAATGTGTTATTAGTTACACATTATTCCTGAATCTAATCATTACAAAACTTACATAAACCGATAACCTATCTACCTCAAATAGAAATCAATGAGCTAGAACGATTCTTACACTCTTTACAAACGAAACTCCTTTCAATGGTTGGAGTCCACAAGAACCCATAATGCTATTGCTCTGCGATTGCAGGTTGTGAAGATGACACCGGAGATCCATGGCTACTATGCCAGGCCTCCTGAACCTGAGCAGCAAATTGCAAATTCCAAAGCATGTCTTCAACAGAAGGTCTATCTGCTATATCATCAAGCAAACACCCATTGCAAACTTCCATCATTGTCATTAAAGATTGATCAGAACATTTATCAAGAATTGTCACATCAACCATCTCCTTCATAGCTCCATCATCAGCTCTCATTCTGCTCTGAAACTGTTCTTTTAAACACTCTACTTCCTTCTGTGTGCAAATCGGTCTCCCTGAAATGATCTCAAGCAGTATAACCGAAATCATACACATCAAGTTTCTCTGGATGGCTAACTTTCACACGATTCGTGTCTTTGAAACTTTTGAAATAACCTTGAACACCATCCTGTGTACATCAAGAATAAGTTCACATTAACATTAAATCGTTTCATTATAAAATATTTCACAGTATTCATACCTTTTCAACTTTCTCCAACAATGGCAGGTTGTAGCTGCTAATCTTTGCACTAAAATTCTGATCCAACAAAACATCGGTTATCTTTAAACTGCCCGAGAACACACGGGGCAGGATGCCCGTGTGAAGAAATTGTATGCCCTTCACTATACCAATAGCAGCTGCTATTCTTTGACTCCATGACAAGTTTTTTCCTTTGTTCCCTATTATACACATTAGAGTTAAAAAATTTCTAGTTTATTGATTATATGAAGTTTGAATTATTTCAAAGTTTACCTGAAATCCAGTCCCGAAGGGTCCCATTTGGCACATACTCAAACACGAGAAATAGCCTGCTGACACTCGAGTCATCGAGGTAAAATTCATAGCAGTGGCCCAGAGCACTGACTAAATGTTGGTGTCTAAGTTTTGAGATCAACTCTATATGACGCGTAAACGTTTGTGTGCTGTGGTTTTTTTTCATTTTTAGACATTGTATAGCTACATATGATCCATCCTTTAGCCGACCTCTGTACATCTGATATTCAATAAATTTGTCAAAATGATCAATACATTTTGTTAAAAAACATTGGACATCAGTATCAGCTCGATACTGATATCATAGGAAGTGGCAGATAACCAGAACATTTTTTAATGTTTTGGTTATCCGATGCTATATCAGGAAGTATCTGATACTTCCTGAGTATAATCAGGAAATAAAAATGTACCTGACCGTGGGACCCTTCGCCCATGAAGGTGGATGCATCAAAGCCATTAGTAGCTTCCTCGAGTTCTTCCAACGAAAAAGCGTGATAAGCTGGGATTCCTACTGTTCCAAGCTTCATGACTCGAGTAACATATCCTTCAAATTTTGAAATTGATTGTTAATATTGAACTTTGACCTTAAAAGGTCAAAGGAGAGAAGGCTTACTTGCATCCGAAAGCAACTTCGACGAGTAAGAACTCGTCAAGTTTTCCTCTATCACCCTCGCCGGAGGCTTTTTCTCCATCTTTTTACCATGAACTCGCCGGAAAATCAAGAACGCCACACCGATCAACAGAATCCCGCCGGTGATCCCTAATGCAAGAGCTGCTTTTGACAAGTTACTTGTTTTGTGATTCCGGGGTATGATTCCGACTGCCAAAGCTGCGGTTCTACAAAATGAAATCGGTTTTTGACTTTTAATTTCGTTTCCATCGTTTGTGCTCAAGCAATTCCCGTTGTACACCACATTCCGGACCTTTGAAGACACGAGACATTCCGGGAGCTTCCCGGTTAGAAGATTAGCCGACAAGTCAACGAACTGGAATCCCGGATTACATGGGAGATCCTCGGAAAGCAATCCCGTAAACCGGTTCCCGTTTATGTCTAAATAAGTTATCGATGGTAAAGATAGTATAGAAGTTGGAAAGGGTCCAACGAATCTGTTTAAAGCTATGTCTAGCTTTTGAAGTTGATAAAATGAATGTAGTTCTTCGGGTAAACCATTGGTGAACTTGTTCTCTCGAAGAACAATGGAGATAATTTTGTATGGGACTCTAGGGAACTTGGGTCCTAGTGAATTACCTCCAAGTTCAAGAGCTCGGAGGTTTTTCAAATCACTAAGATCCGGGGATTCGCCCGAAAAGTTGTTGCGAGAAAGCATAAGAACTCGAAGATCAGTTAGTTTCCCTAAAGAATCTGGCAACAACCCGTTTAGCGAATTGTTCTTCATGCTCAAAACTGATAAACGTGATAAGAATCCGATACGGGATGGAATCCATCCAGTAAAGTTGTTGTCATCGAGAACAAGGGATTGGAGATTCGCTAAAGATGTGATTTCCGATGGGATTTTGCCATTGAAGTGATTTGAAGTAATGTTGAGGATTTCTAGCGATGATAAATGGGAAATTTTTGCAGGTATTCGTCCCCATAGACCTAATGAAACCAGTTTGAGGACTTTTAAGCTTTGAAGGTTAATGAGGGTTGTAACAAATGTGTCTATCGAGAAATCTTCAGGCAATTGATGGGTTTTATAGCTATTGATGATGTGAAGTTGTGTTATTACGCCTTCGTAGCAAATAACTGTTACTGATGAACTTTGATCTGTGTTGCAGAAATCTGTGGTGTTGTTCCAGCTGCTAAGAATGACAGGGTAATACAGAAGTTGTTGGATTCTCAAAAGGGTTTGTTCTTGAGAGATATTATGGTGATCGGAGCACCGAATTGGTACAATCAAAATAGCAAGGAGTACAACTGCTGATTGCCATGAATAAGAAGTTCTAGCCATTGCGTTTAGAACATATGCAGATCCTGAAAACGAGAACAGATTGTATCAGAATATTGATGAAATTTGGAGACTTGAACTCTTTCCCATATCTAGAACTGTAATTAGCCAAATGGGAAAGCCTTAATTATGATTCTTGTAACCTTAATTTACATAAAACATAATGTTCATGCGGATTCAAGGTCAAAGATTCATACTTGAAGGTCAGACATTATGCAGACACCAATTAACTCGTATGCAATGAAGCAATATGATTGTTAAACACAAACCACACTAACAATTAAACACACATATAAGAAATTTAAAGTTTTTGTAAGAAAAACGATACTAAAACTCATGAATGGGGAATAAGTAGGTTGAATTGAAGGATTACCTTTTGGATTTTGAGTGTAGAAGAGGCAAAGTTCTTCGGGATTGAAGCTGTATGAAGCTTAGTGGGACCAATAAAATATGAATTCTTTCTTTTCGGAAGATGAAAAGAAAGAAACCGAATCAAACCCACATGATTTCATGTGCATAGAGAAAGACAAGAACACCTTAGCAGAAATCGTGAAAACAGAGTGTCTTTGAAATGAAGTCAAATTATCATATGTTTGACTTCAATTTCAATCTAAAATGACAAAAACCCAACACAAAATTTAGTTGGTTTTTTCAAATCCAACGATTTTTAATCACTGTTTTCTTGAACAATTTCTTAAACACACAACGATGCACACATAGTTACGTGTTCCTTAAAAAGTTACAAGCTTTTATAGCTATAATGGAGGTTAGGGATGACAGGGGAGCTGAAAAAGAAAAGGATTATTTCAAAGATTCCTGCACTATAAATCCTTCACCTCCATGTCTGTGTATTTCTAGTGTGTGTGTGTTAATGCACCTCCCGAAAGGCTGCAAAATACACACCGTATATATCTCTATTTACTGGAAAAAGATAAAGAAGTTCGATAAAGTATGCATGTGTCTATGTTTGTGACCAGGGTACTTCTTTCTTTTGAATATATTAATTATTTTATTTTGCATATACTTTTATTTTTATAATATCTTATGTTGTTCATGTTTTTATATGCCCTGCCATCAGTGCTGACGATGATATAATCACATATATAAGTTATCATCATACATTTGAGAGTTTTTCATTCATATATAGTCAATATCTCATAATTAAATGATTCTATATTAAGTCAAGAAATAACGACTGATCGTCATATAATTTATCATTTTCCTTTTATTAGATTTTCGATCAATATTTCGTCTATTGTCGATGTGTCTTATAAAAAATCGTTATATAAAATAACATCGACATTGAATCACATCAACATCAAGGTACCTCTCATTTCATTCATCTATCTAAAAACTTATTTGGGGTACCTCTCATTTTATTTTCTATATATCTAAAACTCATCAATGACCACACGGCTTCAGAAATTCTTTTCGCAGGATAATCCAATAAAGGGGAAGAGTATAACAAGAGGAATGTATATCACATGTTTAAGAAACCATACAACAACTCCAGGTAGCAAGCTTGCCAATGTCGACAAATCGCTTTAGAATGGTTTGAGGTCGTGATCACTTTAATGGTGACACATCACATCAACATCACTAGTAGGTAGCAGCACATCATTAATCAGACTTTAGTCACTCATTTACATCGAGTCAACTCGTACCCTATATTAGAGGGTGTTTGGATAGGAAAAAGACGGTGCTTATTGCTTATTGTTTATTCCTACCACAGTAAACTAAGTTTAAATGTTTGGATATGAATCCTTAAAAATCAGCTAATTGTGGTAGGAATAAGCTAAATAAGCTGATTTTAATAAGCATCCCTCCATTGTTTATTCTCACCACAAACACTTTTGCAAAAACTATTTATTCCCACCGTAATAAGCTAATAAGCAATAAGCTAATAAGTTATAAGTTAATTTATCCAAACACCCCTTAATATGGAATGACAATACATGTATCTAATAATAAAGCAATATGGCATGTAACAACATATTGTAAAAACTATATCATTATCATCATATCTATAAGCCATAGATTGCAACTACTGTAACTTGTTACCATAATCAACATCTCATACATTAAGCATACAATAAAATATTACATAAAAAGATCATAAAAGATCATTTCATCACCACCATAACATCATAATAGCAATCCTAGCATGGCAACTAGGTATAACACCACATCATCTTAACATCTTAACATCAGTTCTAGCATGACATAGGTATATCACATAAATATATAATATATAACTAGTAGTGTATCACCTTAATGCGGCCAAGAGTTGTACAGCAATACAACCGATCCTTACTCATAACTGACCTGGATAACAATATACCTTAGTCAAATCGAAGGCCGAACTGAATCAAGGGATCCTTGAGCCTAAAGCAATACCGAGGCGCCAAAGTATCCCGTCGAGTTCCAACAAAGTATCGTTGGCTGCCCAGGATCTCCTACAAAAAAACACACACAATAGAGGTACAAAAATTGTACAAGATACCATGTGTTGTTCCCTTTTCCAACTCTATAAATATATCCTTCATAGGAGGTGCCAAGAAAGTAACACAACACTCTCGTTATTTTTCCAAAACCCTCTCATATTCTCTTACAAAGTAATTCCATAGGAATAGGCATCATGACTATTAGAGGAATGCGTCACATTTCCTGGTTTTTAGCTTGCTATTGTTCTTCGTTCGAGTCTTATGCCAATAATCTGTCTAACTCCACCAAATATTTTTCTGGATCAATCGGCACCCATCAAATGACTCATCTTCCAACTCTAGTGCTTGTGTAACGTCCCAAAAATTAAGACCAAAAATTTCAATTTAGAATAATAAAACCATCTTTCAAAACATGTTCATAAAACCATAATAGAATCAAGTATGACCAAAACATCCAAATACATCAGAGTAAAGTAAAATGCGAAACAATGTGGTGTGTGCGATGCGATCGCCCCAAGCTCTTCCCCTTGGATCCGAAAGTACCTGAAACATAAACTGAAAACCGTAATAATAAAACCATTTTTCAAAACATGTTCATTAAACCATAATAGAATCAAGTACGACCAAAACATCCAAATACATCAGAGTAAAGTAAAATGCAGAACAATGTGGTGTGTGCGATGCGATCACCCCGAACTCTTTCCCTTGGATCCAGAAGTACCTGAAACATAAACTGAAAACCGTAAGCACGAAGCTTAGTGAGTTCCCCAAAACACCACATACCATACATAACAAACATATAACGGGCTTTGCCCGACATCGGGCCCCGCTTGGAACAGATCTGTCAGAAAAAAAAATTACATTCATATTTGAATCTAACTATATTAAATATAAATTTACTTGATTTTTGTAACGATTTTAACATTTTGATCATATACAAATAAATTTACTGATATTCATAGGTGAATTACTAAAATTCACATGTAAAAGATCAAGAATTGTTAAAAAAAAAACCGGACACAATAAGTATACACATTTGATTTGTTTTATAAAAAATTGATATGGTTAAGATTCACATGTAAATTTGAACACAACTTAAAAAAACATTTTTTTATAACATTTTTTATATAAAAAATATGAATGTCTTAAAGAGTACTAAAAATTAAGAATGTTTATATATTTATTTTTATTATTTTGATAAAAATAAATCCTAACTATTAAAAAGTAAAAGAAATACAACAAATTTTTTATAATTTTTTAAATCAATATAGATTTCTAATGAAAAAAGACAAAAAAAAAATCATGAAATTTAATATATTAGATTTTTTTTTTCTGATAAAAAACGTAAGATACACATCCAAATATGAAATATACAATTTTTCCTTTGGCCAATAATTTGTATAACAAAGTTTTTCCTTTATAAAAATACAAAAATCAAAAGAAGACATACGAATTGTGTTTGTTAAAGATATCCATCTCATTTAACGTCGATACTAACACATTTCTTTAGTTTGAAAATAAAACTTGCAATCCAAAAAAGAAAAAATTAAGGGGCTGTTTGGCAAGATCTGAATTTTTAAGATCTGAATTTTTAAGATGGTTTGAATTTTTAAGATCTTAATTTTTTATTTGTTGTTTGGTTGGAACCTCTTATTTGATGAGCTGAATGATAAAAATGACCATTTTACCCTTATGTATTATCTTTTGCTGAATTCAATATTTCTGATTTATAAAAATAACTCAACCAACTCCTTGAATAATTATAAAAAAAATATAAACACAATACAAAATCCAAATCAAACATAAATATTTTCAAATCCACTTAAATAATACTAAAATCCAAATAAAATTCTACAAAATCCGAATCATAATAATATATTCTCAAATCCATGAAACCAATGGCTAGTAGCCATTTATTCAACAACTTTTGCGACTGATTTTGTTGAACCATTCTTCCCGAAATTGTGGCTGCTAATGTTGTTTTGATGCTTGGATCTTATGTCAACGAAAAATGTCTTTTGATCTACGAAAAACTCTTACCAAAATCATTATATATGCACCTGTGACATACAAAAGGAAATCTAGAATCAAAGAAACAACAAAACTTTTGAATATAAATGTTCCATATCGTTCTATACAATAAACTCAAGAACTTGTATCAATTAACAAAAAAGATTTCAAGCAAAAACACGTACAGATTAGATTTCAACATCAGATTTCAAGCAAAAACACATACATATTCAGATTTCAATATCAGATTTCAAGCAAAAACACATACAGATTTCAGAAACTCAAGAACTTGCATCAATTACACATCATATTTCACAGCATCTCCATGTCTGATTTTAAGAACTAGAAATATTAGCATAGAAAGTTCAATGTACTCATCCATTACACTACCAAACATATTATAACAAATCCCATATAACTAAAACTTCATCAATCTCCAAAATCAGCTACATAAATTTAAAACCCCAAATTACATATATAAAATAACTCATCAGCAAGAATTTTTAATTGAACACACATCACAAGTATGGGGTACTGTATAAATCTAATGTGAACAAATAGGTCTCGGAAGCTAGATTGAAAAGTTAGGTTTTCCAAAACTCACCTTATAGATAAAACGCCACCACCAGAAACAACTTTTCAATTGCAAATAGATGATTTCTCCACCCTTTCTGTTATTTCTCGACCTTCTTTGGCCGCAAAGTAAACATCACCACAAACTCAATAAACTCAATAGGTCGAAGCCAATATTGGGGTTAGCGACAAAAGAACAAATACTAGTGATAACATCCACTTGCCGACAACTCAAACCCTAGGCTCGGGTGTGGTTGCAGATCGGAGAGGGATTGGAGGGAGAAGGTGGCGTGCGACGATGACGTGCGATGGTGGTGTTGTGCGACGGCCGGCGCCGAAGTCCGACAAGATACAGGGGAGAGGAAGGAGGCGGTTCTTCTTGATGGCTGCAAGAAAAGAGAGAAGGGTGTGACGAGGGTATGATAGGAAAAAATACAAACGCGTGCCTTCCTTTTTCTTAAGAGGTTATTTTCGTATTAAGTGGCAAAAAA